GCTATTTTTTTTAAACAGTAATGATGAAAAGGTAAATTATACACCGTGAAAAGATGAAAAAACTTACTGACGTTTCGGACGCTAGTCCTTCGTCGGAGTAAAAGAGAGGGGAAAAATGTAATCTAATCTGAGACTCTTTATACATTGTTATATAAGGACAAGCCACACTATTTCCGCGCATGGAATCTTTCGGAAATATTTCGGACCAATTTTAACAGTGTATTGAATGATCTTTTATCGTTTCCAGGTCTCCCGAAGGGTTCGTGGATTGGACCTTTTCAACCGTTAGGTGCTGGGGCGAGACCCCCGAAGGCGTCTGGACACTAATCGTCATTGATAATGGTAAATATCTGTTAGACTTTCAATCTTTCCGTTACTGCGGTTTTCGATATTCGGCGAACTTGGTAGTTAAATAATCAGTCAGTACTTTCTATGTTCTTAACTGGCGGCAGGGAAAAATCAATAGAACGTTTTCTCAAGGTTGCGTGCGCATCCAACTTGACGGGCCACAAAACTGAAAAACGCAAATTCAGTAAAATTGAGAAGACAGTTTTATATTTAAAGAAGAGAATACTCGATTTTATAAATTCTTACCGAAAAAAAAATCATAGCAATGTCTGATAATACTCGTGTTCTGGTATCGTGGCCCGTCAAGTTCCTTAAATTTGGATGCGCACGCAACCTTGAGAAAACGGTCAATTTTACAACAAGCCGTTGAAATGTCTGAGTTCGCGGAATAGCGAAAACCGCAGTAAATACAAACATGTTTTACTTGTTTTACTCGTTGAAGGTAATGATCATGCTCGGGGTTACTTGATGGACTGGAAGATCACTCTATATGGATCAGCACTGTCACCAGCCGACATCAAGCAAAGACGGAGGTAACGAAATGCATTCAAATGTAAAAGCAGTTTTACTATTATGGACGGATCATTTAAGATAATCGAGGGGGGTTGCAAGCACTCCACCTACGAAAAAAATATCGTGCAACCTCTTCTTTCAGAAGCAAAATATCGACATTTCGTATTATGAAATGGCTTCCTATAAGAATGGTTATCGTATGAGTGGGAAACATACCGTACTGACTTACAGCACGTACACGGTACGATATGCCGTAACATTGAAGTGGCTTCCCATAAGAATGGTTATCGCATGAGTGGGAAGCGTACGGTACTGACTTACAGCACGTACACAGTAAGACATGCCTTATTATGAAATGGCTTCTCATAAGAATGGTTATCGTATGAGTGGGAAACGTACGGTACTGACATACAGTACATACACGGTACGACATGCCGTAAAAATAAAATGCCTTCCCATAAGAATGGTTATCGTATGAGTGGAAAACATACGGTACTGACTTACAGCACGTACACGGTACGACATGCCTTATTATGAAATGGCTTTTCATAAGAATGGTTATCGTATGAGTGGGAAAC